ATCTTTCTTTTTTTTTTTTTTTTTTGGAGAGGTTTTTAATTTTTGCCCCCCCCAGATTTTTAATTTTTGCACTCACCAGAGAGACAGAGAGACAGAAAGCGAGAAATCACCCTCGGTGGGGGGTGGGTACATGGCCACGCCGCAATCCCTTCTCCTCCATTCTCCTCTCAGGATCTTGGGTACATGCGCACCCGCACCCGCACCAGGTCTGGGACTCGAACCGCAGTCAACTACATGGGAGTCCAGCAACATAGCTGTTATACCAACTGCTGATCCCGACACACATCTTAATATAAAGTTCAGAAAACACCATCAGAGCACTCCACATGGAAGGCTGGCCTTGGCTAGAGGTGCTGATGGTGAATCCAGCACTACTGGGAATAGTTTCCAAGCCTAGGCTAGAAGAGGGGGACTGAAAAGGGACACTTGAGACTCAAGAAAGAAGCAGCACCCATGTTCTCCATGTGCACCAGGCCAGCCTGCATAAAGGGGAAGGCATCTGTTCCTGTTTTTGGTGCAAAACAAAAATTATAACCTAAAACCAGACCCCACACTTGAGCTATTTACAGCATCGACTCAGGACTCGAAAGCGCCAGGTGAGGGTTTATGACAACACTCTCCAGAGACATAAATGGAAATGACTAAAATTATAGGTGACTCAGCTATTTAGGGGCAATTACACACATTTCTAAATCTGCATGATGCTTGGGGAAGTGGGAGCCTTTGACATACCAGCAGCTCTTCTTAAAGCCACAGGATATTAAAGATAGTTTGGACCTAAATATATAAATCATGTGCTGATATTTGTAGTTGTGAGATTCTGAACCGGGATCTCCCCTGCTGGGCCTGAGCAGCTCATGTGCTTCAGCAATTACAGGATTCGCCCTCACGGAGTGGCAGCAACGTTTCAGTCCAGAAACCAAATGTTTATTTGTGGAATTGAGCCTTGCCCACAGCTTACCAAAATAACAAGAGAACTAGGCTTTTTCTCTGTCTGAACTACATTTTCTTCCCATCATGGTCTTGTAATGCCAGGAATATATGCTTAAGGAAAAGAACTACATAAATATTTTTTTTTTAAAAATGCAATTCATGGAAAAAGTCAGAAAGATTGACCCTTAAAACAGTAAATATATAGAACTGGCTTATTCTTACAATTGCCTACAATGATGACTACTACACATTCGATTACTTCAATTGCTAAATGTTTTAGTGGCATTTATGTATCTTTGTTTCCATTAGAAGCAAAAGGAAAATGAGAAAACCTACCATTTGGCTTCTAAAATGTTATACCAAGCCCCCAAAAGGAGCCCTAGGACAAGCTTATCATCTGTATGACAGCTCTCCCAGCATTTTGAGATGTTTTGTAGAATTGACTAACTCAGGTCCTAAAAGAAACAGAGAGTGACTAAGAGAGAGAGAAGAAACCAGAGTTTGGGGTTCATGGACAGGGCTGAGGCAGAGCAAGGGCAGTGTAGACACAGAGAGAAATGTGAGTAGGAGAGGAGCGAGTGATGTGAGGGACAACAGGCCATGCCCCTCCTCTCGTCCTCTCTTCCCATTTCAGAACATCCAGACCAAAAGGATTCAAAGCTTGTATACTGCCTACATCATGTCAAAACGCATTCCAGATGGCTAAATGTAATGAAAGAGATCATAAAATAATTAGGAAACAGTAAAAGTAAATCACTTAGGGGTGAGGACCTTCTTTCTGAACCTGAACCCAAAGGCATAAGCCATGCAGAAAACATTTACACATATTTCCTGCTGCACTTTTAAGAACTATGAACAAAATGGAAATGACAAATGAAAAGTTAAAAATTCAGTGCCTATGACAAAAGCATCATGTGATTGGTATGCAGGAAACTCTCGTAAAATAAATTCACGGAAGGTAATTAGGGTGACGGTCACAGGCAAAATAAGGGTAGCGAACAATTCCTTAAAGAAGAAATTCCCATGCCTATAAATGGTCTGTATGACCAGTCACCACAGAATCAGGCTTTAAACCCAAAGACACATATTTTATACATATGATCACGTGGGGTTATTGATAATGCACAAAGACAAGCCCTCTCAGATGATGCCGGTGAGAACGGACGATGAGACCTTCCGGAGTGCGATTTGACAACATTGTGCAAGCCTTTGAGAAAATCTGCATAACTGGCCAGTGGTATAGCACAGTGGTAAGTGCCGTGCATGGAAAGCCAGACCCCACATGGCTAACGCAGTTTGAGGACCGGTCTTCATGGCTTGAAAACCAGGCTGGGCACATACATGTCTGTGGTGCCCCAAATCCTGACAGGAGAGAGAAATGGAGGAAAAAGGATTGAGGTGAACCCATGCCTGATTGAGGAGTGCTTTCTCTCTCTCTCTCTCTCTCTTTCTCTCGAGCACACACACCCATTGCAATTTTTTAAAAGTTTGCGTAACTTTTTTTTTTTTGAGAGGTTTGTGCTATAGGGCACTTGTGCTCACCAGACAGAGCGAGACAGAGAGACAGAAAGTGAGAAATCACCCCCCGGGGGGGATGGCCATGCCTCAAACCCTTCTCCTCCATTCTCCTCTCAAGATCTTGGGTATGCACGCACACAAGTCAACTACATGGGAGTCCAGCAACATAGCCATTACGCTAACTGCTGGTCCCAAAATTTGTGTAACTTTTGATCTAACAATTCCATATCTAGAAATTTGTCCTTTAAAAAAATGAAATATGGGGACCAGCAGTTAGCGTAATGGCTATGTTGCTGGACTCCCATGTAGTCAACCGTGGTTTGAGTCCCGGACCCGGTGGCTTAAACTCACGCCGGGCGCATGTGCATGTGTGCCCAAGATCCTGAGAGGAGAATGGAGGAGAAGGGATTGCGGCATGGCCATCCCCCCTGGGGGGTGATTTCTTGCTTTCTGTCTCTCCATCTCTCTCTGGCGACCACACACGCCCTGTAGCAAAAAGCTCTCAAAAAAAAAAAAAAAAAAGAAAAGAAAAGAAAAGAAAGAAAGAAAGAAAGAAAAGAAAAAAAAATGAAATGTGGTCATAAACATTTAGCTACTAAGATTAAACCATAGCTACATTGTTTATGACAAAGAAGAGTCAGGCACAATATAAATATCTAATAATGAAGACTTGGCTATAAAAAATCCCGGAACCTCAATATAATGAAATATTAAAAAGCCATTAAAACGTAGTTATGGTGTTCTGTGATATAGGAGGGCACTTCAAAAGGTTTGTGGAAGCATGGAACTAAAGTATGAGTTTATTTTGGTGTGAAAAAATGTTTAAATCCATGCAGTTTTTTCATAATACACATTGCTCATGCACTTTCTGAAGCTCCCTCGTATTATCAGACAGCAAAAACATAAATGAGGTAAGGCACTGAGAACTATGTTCGACACATAGTAAGTACTTTATCAGTATGATTCCATTTTCTGAACAAAGAATATGTAAATACGGAAATAAAATCTAAGTCTACAAAAATATCTGGTTTAGAAATATGGAAGATTTTGATTTTCCTCTTTTGCTTGTATTTCAGAAATCTTCACAAACAGCATTCAGCAGCATGATTCCATATAGGTTATGTATTTAAATATAAACATTATATGCTCATTGTCTTTGTAAATAAATAGAAATATTACCTGCTACCTGCATACATAATACATATGAATATATTTGGTGCAAGGACTGAAAGACTATATAATAAAATGTTGACAAAACTCAGTGATTTGTTTCTGGGCATTAGAATAATGTGATTGTCAGGAACTTCCATTTCAAGAGTTTTGTGTACTTGGAACCAGCAGTTAGCATAATGGCTATGTCGCTGGACTCCCACATAGTCGACCACCGTTCGAGTCCCGGACCTGGTGGCTTAAACTCATGCCAGGCGGGTGGGAGTGTGTTCCCAAGATCCCAAGAGGAGAATGGAGGAGAAGGGATTGCAGCATGGCCATCCCCCCTAGGGAGTGATTTCTCGTTTTCTGACTCTATGTCTCTCTCTGTCTTTCCAGCAAGCACACCTCACAAAACCTATCAAAAACCTCTTCAAAAAAGAAAAAAAAAAAGTTTTGTGTATGGTAATAAAGAAAGCACTTATTTAGAAAATTAACCCTTAAGATTTAGGACCTCTTAGAATTTAAGTAACACCCCATTTCTCCAGTCCATCCAGGGACAATTCCTCTATAGCATCTTGGAAACTCCAGCAGCCCCACTGCAGAGAGTTCCCTCGTCCTGTTGACCTGTCATATGTTCTGTGTGTCTCCTTTCTTTGTTTCAATCACCACATCTGCAACTCAAACTTCCACTGCTCGAGCATTGCTTTCATAAAGGCATCCCCTTGCTCAGCAGTAACCATCAGCTCCCGTAGCTCTCAACCTGGAGTTCAAAGCCCCTGACTCTCTTCCCCAGACCCCCACCCATCATATTTCTTCACATATATCCTGCTTTATGAATCAGCCAAAACCATCTCTTCCCTGTTGTTCCAATACACTCTGTATTTTTCTACTTTTGGTCATGCTCCACCTTCCTTATCCCCAGATCCCTTCCCTTCCCCTTCCTGCTATGCAGCCTTTAAGGCAGAGCTCAAAATCCAGTTTTGTAATTTCTGCTCCAATTGCCTCCAACATAATGCAGTCCTCTTTTCCAACCTGTATTACACATACAATAATGAGAACCATATAAATCATCTTTTTTTATCTGCTCTATCTTATATTCCTTTATATGCGTCCCATAACCCAGATGCCTACTAAATAATAGACACTGAAAAAATAATAATAATGGACACAAGGATGGGTAGTTCTGTGTATGGTAACATCTTTGACTTGCTTGGCATGCGATGCATTTGTGCTCTGAGAACCCATATCATATGCTGTAAAGACGTACAATGATTAAGTGTAAATGAAATTTAAAAAGAAAATGAGGTTTGGAAACAAAAGGTTTTCCAAGACAGGAGACTGATATATTTCTACCAACAAAATCCTTTAATAAGTGAATATATTAGCACTCAGTTTAAATGCTGACCCAGGGCTCTGGGTCGCCCTTTACCCAGGAGTATCAACTCCCCCACTGCAGGGTCCCTAACAGAAGCCAACCAGCCGCGGGGTGTTAGGGAAGCTCTTGCGCATGCTCATGCATTTTTCCTGGTCAATGTACAGGGAATTGGCTTTGACAGCCAGGTCATGCTCCAGGGTGGCCTTGGTGTGAACCAGAGACTGCAGGGTTTCCTCTGCATCCCTCAGGCGCTGCTGCAGGGTCTGGATGGTGTCATCGACCTCATATACCTCGTTGACAAGGCTGTGTGAGAAAATAAACAAGGTCAGTTAGCAGAGGTCAGCAGCCAAGGAAAGGACCAGGGTGGTTACTGAGTTCCCACGGGAGATGTGTCTGCTGTGCTGGGTGCCCATGGAGCCCCAGGAGCACAGGGGTTACCCCAACTTCAGAACTGCTCTGTATAGCAGGGGAGGAGATAGCTGGTGATCCGAGTATTGTACCAGGGCTAATCTCATTGACTTTGCCCCATAATGGCAATTCGATGTACAGCAAAACATAATCAAATTAAAAAGCAAACTATAAATTAGAAAAAAAAATTTTGCCATAAACCTACAGACAAAAACAACAACAATGTGCTTACTGTTTAAAGAGCACTATGTGGGACCAGCAGTTAGTGTAATGGCTATGTCGCTGGACTCCCACGTAGTTGACCGTGGTTCATGTCCCGGACCCAGTGACTTAAAACTCACGCCGGGTGCGTGTGCGTGTGTGCCCAAGATCACAAGAGGAAAATGGAGGAGAAGGGATTGCGTCGTGGCCATTCCCACTGGGGGGGTGATTTCTCGCTTTCTGTCTCTCTGTCTCTGTCTGTCTGGCGAGCGCATGCGCCCTATAGCAAAAACCTCTCAAAAAAAAAAAAAGAGCACTAAGCAAATAACTAAGGGAAATAGTAATATATGGGTAAAAAAAATGAGCAAAAGACAAGGAAAAACAATTCAAAGGTAACCTCAGGAGGCCATCAAATTTTCATACTGGCATACACATGTACATTTATATGTATGCACATATATGTACCTTAAGAATTATATTTTAAGATAAAGGGAGACAAACATTCCATTTATTTGAATCTTGTTTCTTTCTTTTATGTGAGAGAGCAACCCCTTACAGGGTCCAGTCATGCCTTGATCCACAGTCCACTCCCATCCTCACAGCCAACCCAAATCACAGGTACCCTTTAGGTTTGCCCAGCATGTTCAGGTCAACAAGGGAACAGAACCCAGAACCTTCCCATACGGCTCCAGCACTGCACAGCAGCACCCGACTGCCTGCACCACCACAGCTGGGGCAGACCATTTTTCAAACAGTAAAAAAGGGGAAAAATAAAAAGTTGGCTAGGTGGTCTTTTATATTTTCTTTATCATTGAAAATTATTTTTATAGTTGGGCAGCGAGGGACACTCAGCTTTTCTCAGCAGCTAGATTTCAGTCCAGCCTGTTAACATATCCCGGAAGAGGGTGGTTAATGGGGCATTCCTTAAATTAGAATGTCCCTCTTCCCTGCAAAGTCTAAAGGTAACGCCCTCAAGATCCCAAAGGAAACATATCTGCAACTGTAAAAAAATAATCAATACCACATGAAAACGGCAATGTGTGAAATCGGCCACACGGACTGAGAAACACACTGCCGTTCTAATTGTGTTTGATGATGAAGAGCATTACAAGTTTTCATCGAAACAGAAAGAAAACAAAGCACCTTGTGGCAAAATCTGGCACTTCTCAAATTATCTGAATGAATAGCTTTAATTTTTATTCACTTGATTACCAGTGGACCTTTCTCAAATATCTATTGGGTGTTCAGCATTTCTTCTGTGAATTGTCTCCCATCTTTTGCTCATTTTTCTACTGAGATATTACTATTGATCTCAGTTATCTGCATAATGATTATTATTATTATTATTATATCTTAGTTATTTTCATAGTGCTTTTAAAATATCAGGCATATTAGTTTTTTCATATCTGTTGTGATTGTGGTAAACATTTCCCCTAATCTGTTACTTGCCTTTTTTTTAACCTGTAAAAAAATGTTATTTTATTGCCAGAAGGTGCATGACCAAGAGAGAGAAGATATCTTTCAAGAGGGCACGGCCCCGCCTCAGTCCTGTTTTGAACCACTATGGGATTCAGCTACCAGTGCACAGGTCTTAAGTATTGTGCTACAGGCTGACCGGCTATCCATCTTTTCACTCTGTGATGTTTTGCAGTACAGAAGAGCTTGAATTTTAGTAAGCCAAATACTTCTCTCTGAAACTTTTTTCATTGTACTTCTATTTAGAACATTTTTCTCTTCCCCAAAAGGGGAACTAATCTAGGGCTCCCTTTACAGAAATTTGGCCAGTAGTATTCAAAGAATGTTATCAAGAGAAAGAACTCACTCAAGAGAAAGAGCAGGAACCAGGTCATAAAAGGACAATAATAAATAATAAATCATAGCAACTTATTATATGACTATTACAAGCACTTTATGTGATCAGATTCTTTAATCTTCATTACAACCCTACGAGGTAGGTACTAAGATCATCCCCATTTTACAAAGGAGGAAACTGAGGTACAGAGAATTTAGGTAACACTTCCTAAAGTTTTGTATGGAACTACCTACCCATCAGCTGCTTTTAATTTCCATGCTGTTCTGTTGACTCCAGTTAGTTGCAAACACAGCTCCAAGTACAACAAATTTTATCCAGTGATGTAAAACTGAAGCATTCTTTTGAATTTTTGTTCTGTTTTACTTTGGGGTTTATTTATCAGTAGAGCGCAGGTGCATGAAATCAATTAAAATATACACAAATAAAAAGAGAACAGTGACAATGGACGAACAGGGATGTTGACTTTTCTAGAGCCAGAAAAGGATTTCATGATTCCAGAAAAATATCCAGACCGCATTAAGACAATTATACCAAGACAATGTCATAGTTTCAGAGAACTCCGCAACTAAAAACTAAATGTTAGAGGTCACCCAACCCAGCTTCCTTCTTTTAAAGATGAGGCCCAGGGCCTCAGTGAACTGACGTCTCTACAGGCATACTGGCTCACAGGTGTTAAAAACTGGGTCAGATTATCCAGGAAGCTAAGAAGCAAATACAAAGCCTTGGAGGCCATAATAAGGATCAGGGTCCCATTTCTCACCTTCCCCTTCTCAGCTCCTTATGATGAAAGGGCAGAAGCTGAGACCCAGGAAGTGGTCCTGAGCACACTGGGCTCCTTACGGTTAAGACCAACCTCAGCGTCTGATTTCTATTGTAATCCCCACGTTACAGGGTTGCCAGGTCATACTTAAACGTCCAGCTAAATCTGAATTTCAGACAAACGATATTTTAGTGCAAGTAATTTTTCATTTTGGCAAAATACTCGTAACACAAAATTTGCCATGTTAGTCATTTAAGTGTACATTCAGTGATATTCTACTCACAGAACTCCTTTCACCTGGCAAAACTGAAACTCTACCCATTAAACAATAACTCCCTGCTATGAATATGTCCCCTAGAAATTCAGTGTCGGGACTAGATTATATTGTCTGTATTGTAAAGGTATTAAGTGAAAGCTTCATTCCTCCATGGTGTCCCAGAATAAGACCTACTGGATGGTGATTGGTTCATAGCGATTCCATCATGGAAGTAAACTATCTTGTGAGTAGATCAGCGATGTCTTGGGAAACCCAAGGAATTCTAGGTTCCATGAGAAGGGGTTAGTTCTTGAGAGACCTGGTTATGAGAGAGAGCTGGGTCTGCAAATGGCCGCCATCCTCTGTGCTTCCATCAGCCATGCTGTAGGCCTAGGACTTTGGACCTTCCAGCCACCAGAAGCATGCGTTTTTAAATAAGTATCTGTCTTCTTTATGAAATCACCCAAGCTCAGGTACTTCTATCAGCAACGTAATAATGGATTGAAGTACTCCCCATCCTCTATTCCCCTCATCCTCTGGCAGCCACCATTCTACTGCTTCTGTGAATTTACACCGGCTTCATCTAAGGGGAGTATTCATCTTTCCATGACTGAATTATTTCACTTAGTGTAATATCCCTGTTGTTCCATGTGTCTGAATTTCCTTCCTATTACTGAATGATAATTCAGCTTAAGTATTTTGACTTCACATATGTATTTTTAGTATAAGTATTCTGTGCAATATTTGACATGTACTTAGGTAAAAAGAAAATATTATTCACTAGTATCTGACGCTCAATTTAACCACTGTCCTATATTTTAATTTGCAAAATCTGGCAACCTTACAACAGAGGCCAGTAGAGTATCAGGCACAAAATGGGCTCTCACAGAATATTAAAATAGCATAGTCACAACTCTTCTCAAAATCCTTCACATTTTCCTTTACCTAAGGGAAAAACTGTAAGTTCTTAAAAATTTGTGCCATAGTGTGTGTTTGCTCACCAGGGAGAGATGGGGGGGTGGTGGTGATGAGAAAGCACTCCCGCCCCCACCATGGAGGATGGTCACATCCCAATCCCTTCTCCATTTCTCCCTCCTTTGGGGATTTTGAATGCACACACACATATGCCCCCATGTTTCTCAAGCTGCTGGGTCAGGACTAGAACTGCCTAGTCAGTCATGTGGGAGCCAGCTGCCTTAATCCAGCTGCCACTGGCTGGCCTGTACACATTTTTAAGACGATGCAACAAACCATCGGCTATTGTGTGGAGAGAGAAGAGGGCAGAAAAGAAGGCTGTCATTTTGTTCTCCATATAGACCTGTATTATTGGAATTTATTTGGGGATTCTTGTTTGTTTGTTTGCTTGTTTGTTTGGTTCTTCTATGAGAGAGAAAAGAGAGAGACATTCCCAACAGGGTCTTCAGGCCACAGTTCATTCCTACACCAGCTGGTCAGGATCATGGGTGTGTGCATGAAGGTGCACCTACATGTCCAGGGAGACCTTGGGACCTGAACCAGGACTTTCATACATGGTTTCAAGCATCTTAGAGGGTTTCACTACCATGGCACCACCACAGCTGGCCTTGAATTTATTTAAAAATCTGAATATACCTCTATCTTATTTATAAAATTAAAATAAGAAGGTATAGAAAAATAAGAAAAAAAGTTTGACATGAAAGATAAAGGAATAATTTCTTCATCTTGTGTTAAGTAGCATTATGAGAGAAAAGAAAGAAAGAATGTTTGGGTCTAATGATAATGGATGCTAGAGCCAGGTGATGAATACTATGCAAACAGTCTTTCTTTAAAAAAAAAAATTGTGCTGGCTATCAGAAAAGAAACACACGTTTTGGTTGGAAAAGTTA